GATCTTTCTAGGTATCAACGTCAGGCTGACTGATCTGTAATCCCCCAGATCCTCCTTTACTTCCTTATAGATGGATGCTATATTTCCCCTTTTCCAAGCATCCCTGATCTCACCTGACCTCCATGAGTTCTCAAAGAGGCTAGCTTAATGGCTCTAAAATTACCTCAGCCAATTCCTTCAGTACTCTAAGGTGCATCCCTTCCAGCCCTGATGACTGGAATGCACCTAGCTTTTCTAAGTAATCCTTAATCTGTTCTTCTACTACTCTATGCTCTTTGCCTCCTTCCCTATCTTTGCTTCCAATTGCACTCATCATATGGAAGCTGTCCCTATTTGTGAAAACTGAAGTAAAAAAGGAATTATATACTTCAGCCTTTTTTGCATAACTAGATGGCCTTCAGTTTTCCATAAGGGATTTATGGTTTCTTTGGTCTTCCTATTACTTTTGACATATTTGTAGAACCCCTTTTTTACGTCCTTTATGTCCCTTGCCAACTATCTCAAATTGCGGCTTGACCGTCCTAATTTTCTTCCTGCATGCCTGTGTGATACTCTTATACTCTTCCCTAGTACTGTGACCAAGTTTCCATTTTTATAGGATTCCTTTTTGAATTTGAACTCCTCAGAGAGACTGTTGTCTAGAAGTGCGCTTCCCATTCTTCTATGGCACTTGGATAGCTTGTTCTTGTGTCCTTAAAAAGGGCCTCCTTAAAGTAAAGCCAGAGCTCCTGCACTCCTTTCCCCCTTCAGACTTGCCTCCCAGGGAATCCTGCCCACCAGTTCCTTGAGTTTATTAAAGCCTGCTTTTTTGAAGTCCATGTCACTGTCACCCAAGTTACCTTCCAGCTTCACATTCTCAAACAATTCCTCTGTGTTTGTGAGTGGCAAGTCAAGAAGAGCTTTCTTCCTAGCTGGCCTTTCTACCATCTGTAGCAAAGTTTTCTCCAACACACTCCAGAAATTTGCCTCAAGTTCAGTTATATTAGACAAGGGATATAAACTTTCTTGCTTCAAGCATAAAAAACATGATTAACTGATAAGGTTTAAGAAAAATGTTCTTTGTGGTGGACTACAATGATTTCACTGACCCTCTTTTGAAACATTTGGAGCAAGCCCCTTCCTGACTGACTGAAGGAGAAGATGAACAACTTCTCATTCACTATTGCAACTCCTATGTTATAATCCTGCTGTCATACAGTTGGAAAAGGTCTGTTAAATTCTATTTGAAACCATCCCATCACTGAGATAACAGACTTATCTTAGTCAGCCTATCTTGAAGGTTATCCAGAAATTATAGCAGAATATACTCCTGAAGTCATCTGCTGTTCAATCATTTCCTCGTCGTGTAGATCTTACCTACAACTTCCATCATTACTCAATGCTCTGATTCTTTATATGTATATACATTGGTGCTTAAAGGATTTCTAAGAGTCCTGTAAACTTGCCAAGCAAGGTAGGCAAATAGATTCTTTCACCAGGTGGCAAAATGTTTGGCAGAGAACTCATTTTTCAAATACATCCAAGCTGGAGAACACTGCATATACAAAAGCCCAGATGTAGCCTGCTATTCTATAAGGCCAACTGTACATTCTCCACAATTCTATCCCTTCTCAAATATTTTTCATGCCACTGATGTCATCATTCAGCTGCCAAGAGTGCAAATCTGAGCCCAAAGCAGAATGCTCCCAATGCTTGCCTCTTCTGCCTTGCTGTCAGACTAAGCTGAGGTGAGGGAAATATTCTGTGCCATACTACAATATGTTCCTGTTAATAAATAGTGCCAGAGTTGTCAGTCAGGAAAAGCTTCATTATATGCTTATTACTGCCTTCATTATTAGCCCAGAATAATTATACCAGCAACATCAGAAAGAACAGAATTCCTCCCCTACCCACCTGTCATAGTTGCAGTAAAAGAACCCAGAGAGGAACAATCTTCATTAGCTATTCATTAGCTTCATTGACCCTCTCCAGCAACGACTTCCTATGCAAGCTGCTTCTCAAGCAGACAAGCCAGGTCAAGGAACAAATTCCACCCACAGATGGTGAATGAAACATGCTGCCTTCAAATGCTAGTTTTGTCCCAAGTTTCCAGACAGATGCTCAATATGGAACACTACTGCCCAATGCTGACACCTGCTGGAGAAACAGAGCAGCTAACAAGGCTGAAGAGCTAGGGATTAACATAGGGTAGAAGGGCATCCATCCCTATCTGAGCCATGACGCACGATGGTCCCTAGCTGTAAAACAAGTTATGCTCACTTAAGAATACAAATGTGTGCATAGCAAACATGTTCTCACACAGTTGCAGTCCTCATCCTGTCATTTCCATGTCCCTTTTCTTGGGTTTGTCCCCATCGTTAACTGTATCATGTAGCTTAGATTGTAAGAGCTTTAGCACAGAAACCAGTTGCCATCTCTGGCACACTCAAAGTTGTGTAAACTAATGGGCCAGTGACTAGGATTCTGACCCCAGGGCTTGCATTCTTGGATTGCCCAGTTTTGGTAGCTGAGATCAGGCATGCACAATATCCATCCTACCAAAAGGCTAATTAATTAATGGGTACCAGCTGGTTTCTTACTGCTCTGAAAAGGAGCGAGTTTGGGGGAGGTGAATGGGTGGAGGGCAGTGGGGTTCCATGTTCCTAGCAAAGAGATTTTATAGAGCTTCCCAGACCCAGACACACAACCAAAAACAGCCAAATGGGTTTGTTCCAACCTAAATGCATAAAGTTTTAATGCCAATTTTTAAAGGCTGCTCAGTATACCTAGCATTCTCAACCCACTACACTACATTTTTCCCATTGGAAGGGATGTGAATGAATCCAAGAATGGCCCTGAAGGCAAAAGAGCCTCATCACAGAAGCAGGAGACAAGGTGTCCAAGAGAGCAGGGTACCTGGCATGGCTTCTTAGCACTGCTTTCCAAAAGAAGCTCTGCCAGGGCTTTTCGCCATGGAAATCCCCATGGAATGAATTCCAAAGTGAGCCCAAGGCATTAGACCACTTGTTCCAAATTCATTTAACCTTGGCAAGAAGCATCTGTTTGCACAGGTGAATGACTGAGTGTGCACAGGTGCTGTAGCTTCAGAACAGACAGCAGTAACATAACCACCTGTGACAGCTATAACAGCCCAGAGAATAAATCATAGGAAATCAGCGATAAAAAAGTCTTATTAGGTCATGACTACCTATTCCCCTGGGAGAAGGAACAGAACTGCTTCCCACAATAAATACCACCGTTAAGATTAACATGAGGCTCTGTGCCCCCCAACCCCTTAAGATTATACCATGGAACCTATTAACATCTGACTGTCAGTGTTCTAAAAATCTGTTTGTTTGCTTTTTTATTTCACCCATTACCTAAGCATGTGAAATTACTTAGCTAAGAAAGGAGATGAACAAAACATGAGCAAAGAATTTAAAGTTATAAACTTGTCAATCTTTCCCTCCCTTTTTCTTTCTCCCATAATAATTGAGATGATATTTGATTAAAATCAATGCTAGGTTCATTTAAGTACAAGCAAGTAGCAGTTATCATGTAAATTAGCTTGCAGGATTCACTAAATAGAGACTGTTAAAACTGGGGCAGGGATTTAGAGGTAGCTGAAAAAACTGCATGACCACCAGCAACCACCTATTTGCAATGCAGCTAAGATAACAATCAAGGCAATTGCAGCTCCTGCTTCTAAAGGAAAGCTGATTATTAAGTACAAAGAAGGACAACAAGAAAAGACACTTCTTTTCCTCAGATGCCCTTATGAGCAACACAGTTCAGATAGTGACGTGTGCAGGAAAAGGAGATTTTACCTTCTAAGACAGTGGTTCCCACCATTTATTTATTTATTTTTTTACCACAGCCTGGCAGGAATGAGACAGGGCATGCAGAGCTGGCTGCCTCCCCACCCTGGGGCTCCCCCACCACCCAGCTTTAACCCTGGAAGCCATTCAGCCAGGCAAACAGACAGGGCTCTGACTGGGGGGCTTGTGCCACAACCCTGCAGCCAACCTGCCGCAGCCTGGTGGTTGGGAACCTCTGTTCTCAGAGATCAAGCTTCCCACACCAGGCAACAAAGGACTGGACACTTCCTCTGAAACATCTGGTACAAACACTGAAAGAGGAAGGAGGCAAAATAGACCATGAGCTTAACTGAATGTGAAGTAAAGCCTGAGTCTCAAAAATGGCAGATTGCTCAGCCGCTCTGTTCCACATGAAGTCTGGAGTCATCTCTAGAAACCTCAGTGCTAAATACCAAAATTTGGGAATGATTAATATTTTCCCATTCAAAGTGCAGATACATTCTTGCACTGAACTCTGAACAGGTTCCACAAAACAGGGTTTTCAAGGGGTCAAACGGTTGGAAACTACTTTCAGACCTTACCTACTTAATACCTCTCATGGTGAAACTATCATCTGCCTAAGTTAAAGCATTCAAAACCAAACCTGAAATACAGGCCCTCCCTCCAAGATGAAATATGAACTCCATCCTTCTTAACCCTGTTATAGTTCCAGGATCTGTTTCTCTTGACCTCCCATCCCAGCAGGTGAAGCACCAATCCAGACTCAACAAGACATTACTTCTAATGAAGGTTTCTTTCCTACTAGTGGTCATGATTTCTGTGTGACAGACCTCAGGGTAGGTGCTGCATGTGCAGCACTCCCTGCAGGACATATTGCACAAGCAGCACAATCCATGTCCAGTCATTCCAAACTGCTTCAATCAGAAAAATTCCCAGGGGTGCAGTTTGCTCCAAAGAAACAAAATTCAGCATCACCTCACAACCTTCTGGACCATTTACCTTTCCCTTTTAATAGGTACGGTCTCATCTCCCAAACCCCACCAAAGGCACACTTTTAAAACCTATCTCTGGTGCACTTCCCCGATTTGTTCTAACAAGCATAAATAGCCCATAAGCACATCAGAAAAGCCCTAGGCACCATTTAGATTAGAAAGTAAGGGTTAAAGAACAGAACTGAGGAGGAATGCAAAGTGTACATCTTACCTCCTGAGTGAATCCTCCTCCGAACTTTCCTCAGGCATTTCCTGGTTTAAGGCCTCCTGTGATACATTCCCGGGTCTGCTTGAAGCCGACTGGCTGTAAACTCTTTCCCAGTGCCCCGTCTCCTGGTTAAACACCACTCCCACGGTCCTTTCCTCTGATGGGTTGGAAGAGCTTCCCAGCTGCAACCTGCTAGAAGTAGAAGCTCGGCCCTCGGTTCTCTCTGCAGGCTGCACCTGGCTGCTGCTTGGTGGCACGCCCTCAAATGTGTTTTGGACCTGCCCCGATGTGTAGCTAGGTGTGCTTCGTTCCCAGCGTAGTGTGTCATTGTTAAAGGTCAGCAGGTTGTGACAGGCGCGACAGCGGTTCAGGTGACCCCGTGACAAATTGGAATTGTTTTCACTGCTATGTGGAGTCTGCTGGTGAGAAGGACCTGGCCTATCAGGCTCAATGTTGTTGTTCAGCATTTCCTGAGCCTGTTGTGACTGGCTGGGTTCCCCACCAATCCCTTGATCTAGCTCTTGAAGCCGGTCATATTCCAAGAAAAAACGTCTCAAGTCACACTGAAGCTCATTGCGGATGCTGGATGGATTGCTTGGGCTAGCACTGCCACTGCCATCTGCTTCAGCTCCTGGTGCCAGGAAGCCCCTCCCTTCTGTAGCAGATGTATACACAGAAGACTGAGAACCTCCCTCCTGCTGTCTCAGCACAGATAGCAAGCTCACTGAAGAGGCACTGGTTCTAGGTGGAGGCATGGCTTCCAACTCTGAGCGGGAACCCATGTTCAGCACTGTTCTAGTCCAATCAGACCCTCCTAAGCCAGAAGCCATCTCTCTTGTAGACTGTTGGTACCTGGACGGGTGCCCTGACAAGGGCCCACTGAGGGACCTACGAGTAGGACCCAGGCTAAGGTTGCGGAGAGTGTTCCCAGCAGTGTTGCTCTGAACAGTGCTGAAAGCAGATGGCCTGTTAAGTATCCCCTGGTCCTCCTGTGCCACAGATGCCTGCTCCGGAGGTTGATAGGGCTCTGTCTGCACAGAGGAAAAAGAAGTGCCAGTGACCCCAGAGGACGTGGAGGGTGCGTTTTCCTGGTGTGGGAAGAGAGAAGAAGGAAGTCTTGCACTAGAGCATCGGCTGCAAAGGCACAACATTCCCAGATGCTGGCAGCACTCTGCTGTGGGGTAACTGACACGCTCACGGAGCCTGGTGTAGGCTGAGGCCCTGGTGTTCTCGTTTGCTGGAGGTGGCGGTGGGGGCGGGGATGGGGTAGCAGAATCTTGCACGGTGTTTTGCTCACCAACCTGTATGCCAGAAGAGCGCGAGGACAGCATATGCAGGAAGTTGTGGAGAAGGGGGGTGCGCCTAACGGGCTGAGACTGGAGAATAGAACGCTGACGGTAATGTGGCATCTCTGTGCTGTCTACAGGGATCTCCACTTCTTCATCACTCTGCAAAAGAAACCGCCAAAGCTCAGGTCACCTGACAACAGAACTGCACATCTAAAGCAAACCTTCAGAATTCAGCTAATGCCCAAAACAGATAAAGGAAACAATAAACCTCATCAAAGAAAGAAGGGAAAGCCTTGGCCCTGAGTTACACGAAGCCCTGTAGCTCTTAATACAACAGAAGATCTTGTACATATCCAGACAGACACCATGCCAACCTTACGGTTCCACAGTACACCAGCCAAATCAACAGGGAAGTCAGCACCTGCCAGGGTGAAGTGCCTATGAGGCTGCAGCTGGTAGTTGCATAACCCTGTCAAAGACGGCAAAAATCCAGCAAAAATCTTCAGCACAATGACAGAGCAATGCCATGAAAGCCTTTGCCCTAGAGCTGATGAGGCAGTGATAACCAAACAGCAGCAGCTATAGGGAACCCCTCAACCAGCAGTGGGGCTCACTGTGAAAGCAACTAGCTATACCTTTAGTTACTGTGTCTTGGGTGTTAACATAATATATCTGTAGGAAACAAGCGTAACCAAAGAGTATCCTTGTGACTGATTTAGATGAGAAAAGTCAAAACACAAGCTTCCAAAGTTAATTAAAGTATCAGGGCACCTAGGGACTACTAGAGTTTGCATGTATTTAAAGCAGCTTGTAATTAGTGCAGACATTAATAATATTCTCACCTGTTGGTTGGAAGGATTAACAATTGCAGTGAGCAAATAGTGTCCCAAAGGATCAAACCGCACCAGCCTGAAACAGAAGAGAACTGGGCACTCAGTTATCCGGTGGCATTTCAGACTGAAAGAAAGCCAGACCCTGAATGGAACAGTTCTTACACATGGTTTATCATGGAGGATATAGCACTTATAATAATTCCACACCTGAAGGCTCCTCAAAATTTCATGCACTTAAAAAGAAAGAAAATATCCACCAATCCCTGAAATGTACCCACCCCTCTAGGGGAAAACTGAAGCTGCAACGGCATAAGTTATAACTCAGACTTGGACAGGAAGTGAAATTTCCCATATCCAACTTAAACTACTAGTGAAACTGAAGGAGCCTACAAATACAAGGGAAATCATCAAGGACAGAAGGTTAACACCTCTGACAGACATGGCTTGGGATCTCTAATGTCCCCGGATTTGTCAGAGCCTTGGTTTTTCCATCATTTAAAAGAATAACCCTCAGGCAGTTCCCCACTCCCACACCAAGACCATTTTGGAAGCACTGGTTCAGTACAGATTTAAAGGCTAAGAAATCCTTTTCCTGCAGTATCTGCACTTTAGCATCCCAGTAATAATCAGGATGAACCCTACTTCAATGGTGTTACCTGCAGGTCAGCCTTACAAGTGGGGGAGCCGAGAAGGATTCTGTGGCGCACAGCTGACTGACTTGTTAATTCACTGATAATCCAATTTGCCTTTTTTATGTCCACAGCTGCTGTTCTAATTTTGTGAAAATGCAAAGAATGAAGCAAGACAGCGCTCCAGGCAGCAAAAAAACAGGGTCAGGGAGAGAGGTTATAGTTTGTGTGCGTTCCAATCCCAAGAAGAGCACTCCATAGTTTCCCACTCTACACCATTCTCAAGTTTGGATACAAGCATTCACAGGTACTCACCGGACCCGTTCCATCTCACTGGCTGTCTTCACCACTGCAAAAGGCTCTCGACGACTCCAATCCCAGAAGTGAATTTCATTGGCTGTTGCAATCAGCAGAAGCTGAGCCGTAGGATGGAAAGCAAGGGATGCAATGGCATTGTTGCTATCTGTGAACCAGCTCTCACTTCCACCCTGGGAAAGGTAAATTTACATTAACAACAGCTTAACACACAAGTGTAGGCAACTAGGATTCCAGGTACACACACAACACCTCCTCGACCCCAACAAAAAAAAAGTCCCAAACCATCACACATACCTGCCTTCAACAAGAAACATCTGCTTTCATTTTATCATATCATCTGGCCATACAGCCCTCCTGGAAACAAATGACCACAGACATGTCTCGACTGATAGGTGTGTCCCAAGCAGCCTATACAAACACCATTCCAGAGCAATCGCTTGGACAGAATAGATCCAAAAACAAAAATGATGGCATGGCAGCTTCCTGAGGCAGAGTGAAAGTTAACCCCCATGGAACCAGCAAGAGAAAAAACAAGCCTTATACAAACTGAGAGGGCTGCCACAACCAGAGCCACATGCAGCTTTAGAGTATGACACACATCACTCTTGGCAATCCTGAGGTGGAGGCCTCAAGACATCTGGATGTTTAGAGCAAATAAAAAAAAAAAGTTGGAATCTTGTGGTCTTAGAATTTCATTTCCATAAAGAGAGGAATGGTTATAACTGTTCTTCTGTGTATGTCTGCAGCTCCCCAAAGCAACTTTCAGCTGGGCAAAATTTGTACCTTATACCTGGGAAGAATTACTGCACCCCAAATGCTAAAAGTTTGATTTTTTTAGAAAAAGACTTACATGTAAATCCCAGATCCTAACCTCCCCATCAAGGCACCCTGAAGCAATGAGTCCAGGGATGGTAGGGTGAAAGGTCACACACCAGGGCGTGCGCCGATGTCCAACCAGAGAATGCACACACTTTCCCGTTTTCACCTCTGTGATATAGATATTGTGGTTCACATGGGTGGAAGCCATGAGCGTTCTAGGGAAGGGAAAGGACAGAATTAACATTGGCCAAGACAAAGGAGGACAACCAAAAATTAAGAGCATAAAACAACCAACTGGACCAACTCCATCAGAGTATGGCTAGTTTTCATCTAATCTCGCAGCCCTCTCACACAAAGAAGGGTAAAGGACATTGCAGCATCACGCAAGCCACAGAAATTCTGTGGGACCAGACTTAGAGGGTGGGTGAAAACATGAGTATATCAGCATCTGAGAGCACAACGCTGAGAGGAGTAAATTCCCATTTCAGCAGTCTAGCCCTTACTTCCAACTGAGCAAATCTTTCACTAAAAGGATTAAGGCTAAAACTCAGAGTCAGCCAGTACGTTCAAAGAGATCTTCCCTTTCAACTCTCCTCTCCACCAGATGAGCAACCATCCCAGGTCAAGTAATACTGGGAAGGAACCTGGGCGCTCTCCTCCACCCTACTGCCAAGACATTAACGCTGCATCATTCAATCTTGTTTTTTGACTATCACTCCCTCTGGGTATGCAGTGAAGCTGGGGACAGCAGAGTTAACACCTTCTGCCACACAACAGTTTCTCATAAACCACTTCCAAGTCCCTGCCCTTAACTTTCACCACAGACAGGCATATTCTCTTGGGGCTCTGCTAAAACTTTGAAGAACCATAAAAAAAAAAAAAAAAAAAATCAAGTGTTAAGTATTTGGGGTTACACAGCTGAAGAGTCATGTGGGCTGCACTGCAGCTTAGGATCCTGTGATCTCAGATCTGCTACAAGCTTGAGGTCTCCCAAGGGGCACAAGCCTTTGTTACTGTTGTTACCATAACGAGACCATTTAAACACTAGAAAAATCAGTTACCTGTCTGGGCTGAAGGCAAGCAGGAAGGTGGACCGTGGGCTGTCTGGTAGCTCAACTTTCTGGAAAAGTGAACAAACCGGGAAACACTGAGTACTGTCTGGCCGTACTTTCTTCACTCTAATTCACACACAAACAGCATGGAGGTCCCCAAGCAGCATACAACTCCAGCACAGTACCTGAGGAACCAGGCTAAGCCAGATGGAGCACAACCAGGGGTCTCCCGACTCGAAGTGCAATGCATAAAAATATCAATATTGAACAAGTGATCAACAATAACAGTACTG